CAAGATGCAATGCCCATACTTAAGAATAAGAGTTGCAAGGAATTAGGAGGTGAAGAGGAAAGGAAAGAAAGGGGTGAATCTGGTGCTAACATAGTATATTGCCATGCTCAAATCTGTATGGAGGAGAGCATCGTGATGCCTTTTTTCACTGACTTTGTTTTCTCTATTGCAGGAAAAGTTATTGTATCTATGCCCTATTCTTTAAGAAATTTTCAGCTGGTGGTATTAGTATCTAGTACTCATTCCACAATGAGAGAATTAAGGATAGGCACAGTCATAGAAACTTGGAGGAACCAACTGCTGAACACTCTGCTGCACAAAAAATACATGCTAGGCAGCTACTTTTGGGAGCCAAATATGAGAAGAATTGGGGTGTTATGGACTAAATCAAACTTCAAGTTAACACTCCAATAATACAAAAAGGGAGTTGTATAACAATCCACACGGATAGCATACTGAAAAAACACGCAAAAATAATTGATATATGCAGCACTCAACTTTGGTGCACAGTTGGAAGTCTTTGCGTGTGTATGGACATTGATGGCTTGATGATCAAAATGACAAATATTTCGAATGGACTAACTGAATATACAGGAAACCAGACAAAGTTCAAGAAGGAACACAATGCAAATACCCTATTTAGACTTGTCCAAAAGCTCAAAACACCCACGGGAATATCACAACAAAGAATTGAGGTTCAAATTGAATAGATTTTTTTAAGTTGTTAAATTTTTATTCTTTTCAAAAGAGTGTCCAGATCACATTTGACACTTCAGATTACCTTTAAACTTTGCACACAAGTTCACTTCAACTATATAGAGCTATACAACTTAAAGCTTCCAAAATGAGAATTAGTCTTTCAAAATACTCCCAAATCTTTTGAAAGTCAAACCAACCATGAACACAAGTCATAAAACCATCAAATGAACCTATTCAATATCTCGAATTACAAAACAAAATGCTAGAACTCAAAACGACTAGTTGTGTCATTACACTCTATGATGGGGATAGTTGTATTCGATGGACCCATACGTTTTCAAAATCTAAGTGCATGTCTCTGGGGCTATTTAGTCAAGGAATTCAAAATTTTATACAACAGGCACACAGTTCAGCAGATCATATTACTTCATTTATCCTGAAATGACTAGATTGCCCTTTAAATCCCAAGCAAGCATGTGATGTGACATGCTATCTACTTATTCTCCCTTATTAGATAGTAGAATATTTGATATTCTAGTGAAGTCATGTTACCCCGAGGAAATTACTAATGACCAACAAAAGAAATTGAAAAGTAAAAAAAAGAAAAAAGAGAAATAGGAGAAAAAGACAAATAAAGGGTGTGTTGTGTAAATAAGAAAAATTTGGAGTGGGATTGTAAACTACAAAGTTGCGCATTATTAGGGGTGGCATTTTGAGCCCAAGCCCAACTAACCGCCCAGCAAATAATGAGTTGGACATGAAAGAATTTTATCGACCGGTCATTCTAGGCTAAGCCCATTTCAACCAGTTAAAATAGTTAGCCCAACTCTAACCCGTTTAGGTGCCCAAACAGACCCGTAAAACTCCCAAAACCTAAACACAAGACTCTTTCTCTTCCACTCTCTGTGCACTCAAAAAAACGACCCGTTTCTCTCTGAACTTCAAATACGGTCTCCGGTCTCTGTCTTTTTTCCGGCGACTTCTATTTCTCCTGCGTCTTCCTTCTCTCCGACGAACTCTTTGCCGGAGATTTCTCTGGATCTCAAATTTTGGCCATCACATAAGATAAGTGTTTGATCCTGTCAAGGGTTTCTCATGTTATCTTTCCAAAAATTCATATGTTGATAAGGGAAGAGATATGTAGTGAGAATCCTAATATTAAGGCGATGGCTATGGAAATGGAGAAGAAGTTTACAAAATATTGGCAAGACGACTATAGTCCAATTGCTTCTATGGCGGTCATCCTTGATCCTCGATATAAGTTAAAATTGATAAAGTTTTGCTTCTTAAAACTTGATCTTTTGACTTGCAATGAAAAAGTTAAGATTGTTGAGGATAATTTGCATAGGTTGTTTAAAGAATGCATGACAATATCCGATGTTGGAATTGTTGGAAGTAGTAGTCATAGATGTTATGATGAAATAATGGATGAATTTGACATGTTTAAAAGTCCGTCTGAGTATAGTTCAGAAAAGACACAGTTGGATTTATACTTAGAAGAGCTTGTATTAGTTCGCAAAGGAAATGAAAATTTAGACGTGCTTACATTTTGGAAAGATAATAGGAGTAAGTATCCTGAACTCTCATTGATGGCTCGTGACCTGTTAAGTATACCTATCAGCACAGTTGCATCCGAGTCAGCTTTTAGTGTTGGTGGTCGAGTTATTGGCAAATTCCAGAGTTCTATTCTACCGGAGAATGCAGAAGCTAAGTTGTGTTCTAGAGATTGAATTTATGGGCATCAAGGTACATTATAATTAGTATCATGTGAATTTTATTTTATGAACTTTCTTGTAGTTTGACAATTTTTTTAATTTTCTTATTTTTAGCTTGTGATGATTTTGAAGAGGAGGACATTGCAATAGATGTGGAGAAAATTGCAGCTACACTTTCAAAAAGTCTTAATTTTGGTATGATTCAGGTTTTTCACTCGATTGTATATTAAGTTCTCCATTTATGCACACCTTCCAAAATTGTGATTTCTCATTTTATTTCTGTCATGTGATGCTTTGTCAGGGTAACTGTGGTGCTAGAAAAAGGAAGAGGAAAAGTTTGTATTGAAGAAGATGTTGACTTGAGTCTTTACTTGGAACTACAATTAATTGTGTGCACTGCAATTAATTTGTTGATAGTAGTTCAGATAATCACTCATCTAGTATACACTAATTCGACGTAATGAAATTGATAACCACATGTAAATGGGTTTAGTGCATCCCAAATTGGAACTGAGTAATGGAATATCAAATCCTTGGGAAATATTCTGTTACATGATCTTTGGCAAGATATTTTTGCAGATGAGATAGATTTAAACCATTGATAGTTGATAAAACACACATGTATTTAAACAGGGAAATTCTCATAAATTTACTAAGCAAGATGAGTCAGGTATTTTGTACATAACGATTAGTTACCATGATTCTCTTGTACAAGTTGTCACGTAGAAACCCAGTAGGACTTAAAAAAATCAAAAATGAAAGAAAAAAGAGAGCATCTCAATCTAGCTAAGAAAGCAGAAATAACTTATCATATGTCAAACAACATATCACGAAACAGATTTGCAGGAGCCAGACAAATTTTCTATTTTATACAGGTATTTGAATGGGAAGAAACAAAATATTTGGGTCAAGTTAGGTTATGACCCCTTATTTAGGCCATCTTGACTCAAATAAAATTTAGATTAGGTTGGACATTGACCCAATTATTAGTGCAGTCCATCTTGAGCAACCCAAACTCAGCCCAAATATCCCATTTGCCACCCTAACTTTTATCCTGAGGGTACTTCTGAAATTATCTATTTTCTTTGGTGAGCTGTGTTGCATCGTCTTGTCCACCAGACTTAGACTTGCTGCTTTGTTTACTAAAATACCAGCAGTATTTCTTATAATTTCCGTTATGTCCTTGTACTGGTAATGGACAGAGTTACTATCCTTTTTTAAAGTCTCAGTTTACCCCTCCTTTTGCACTTTATTACAATCGATGTACTTGTACAGTTTCGTAAATCTAACAAATACATGAGCTTCAGCTTCTTTTTGGCACAAGTGCTGCAGCAAACATTTTGCTTCTCCAAAATAAATTTCATATCGTGGTCTAAAAAAAAACCTTATTTTTCTTGATTGTAGATTAAAATTAATTTAACTTTAACTTTTGGGCTTAAAAATAACTGGTGCTTCTGTATAAGTGGGTTAAGTTGGCATAATTAATGAATTACATGGTTAACTAGATAATCATAAAAAAGGTTTGATTAATTCTCTTGATTTGAAATTTGGATGGTAATAGATAAATAACTAATATATGCTTCGTCTCAATTTATGTGATCTTAAAAAGGAAAGAAAAACTTTTACAACTTGTGATATATAATAAGTCTTAGATATTTTTGTATCTATAAATCATGTCAATAAGGAAAAAAGAAAAAAAAATTTAAAGTTAAATTGGTTTTATATAAGAAATATGACCTTTTTTGGGACTATATTGGGCTACATAAGAAAATTTAAACTATTATAAAAGAATTGCATTTTGGATGAAAATATTTTTTTTTCAAGATTTAGTTCAAATACTTTTTGTAGAACCTAAACTTTCTATAAATCATGTCAATAAAGATAAAAAGAAATTTAAAGTTAGATTGGTTTTAAATAAAAAATATAGCCATTTTTGGGGGCTATATTGGACTACATAAGAAAATTTAAACTATTATAAAAGAATTACATTTTGAAAGAAAATATTTTTTTCAGGATTTAATTCAAACACTTTTTTAAAACCTAAATTTTCTTAGACGCTCTAAATTTGAGTTTTGGATATGTCACACAATCTATTTATAATTAGAATGGTAAAATGCACGGAATTATTTAGGACCAATAATGAATGAATTCGAGAGGCAGAGAATAATGAAAAAGAGTTGAACGAACTACAACATATTGTGTTTAACCTGATTCAATATGAAAAAGTCAATAAAATTTACTAAAGGAAGTTGCCTGCTTTAGAATTTAAAAAGAAAAACCAATGAATTCTTAAAAAAATCATCAAAGATATTACAATTTGTTTAATTAACGATGACTGCAAGGCTGATAACATTCTTTTGCATTGGATGCAAATGTAATAATTCAATTATGGCAATTTATAATCTATAACAAGAAAGGTGAACAAATATAGAAGCAAACAATGTTTAGTATAATGCTTGGTTAAAGTACATACTAATATTCAATAGGTGTTAGCACTAAGAATCGGCAATGAAACAATTAAATGAGAATACATTTAAACATAGCTATTGGGCCCGGGCTTAGCTCGATCAAAACCCCACTAGTCTTAATTTAGAGGAGACCCCTTCCAATAATTTCCCCATTACGGCTTTACCCAATTGGAATATCTATTTCCACCTCTACCGGATTACCCGTCTGTTTTCTTGCGCTGTGTTGAGATCTCTTCAAAGGAAAAATCTCAATTTTTAGTCGTAGATAATAAGTGTGAGATCCATCAACTTGAAGGTGTGTGCATGGGTACTCAAACAGAAGCAACACCTCTTCTTGAAGATGGGGTTCTAGAGGTTCTAATTTCTCCTTATTTACTTCTGTGTGGTTTTTTTTTTGCACACTTTATATTGAATAGTATATTATTTGGGAAGTCCATTCGGGGGGTTCGATGCTTTTTCTTTATTAGGAGTAGTGTTTTCTTTAAGAAGGCAAAATTTGTGTTTGGCTGATCTTCTTTTCGTTTTGTTTCCTCTTTGGTCAAACTTTAAGGAATTTTCATTTTGTATTAAGCTAACTCTGCTGGGAATTTGTTAATATAACAAAGACTCTGCCATATTTTGCTAGTAAATATCCTACTATTGGAAAAGTGAAAAGGTGGATTGAGTAGAAAATTAAACTAGAAATAGAGTTCATTACCTTAAATTGGAAACAAGTGGAAGTCCTAATAAATGGATTCCTAATCTAGGCAGTTGAAATGAAGTGTAGGAGCAATATGAACCAATAGAGACAAGGACGTAAGCAGAACTTTTTGTATGCGGTGTGGACATTTAGAAAAGTAAATAAAAGAATAATTACCTATATAATAAGTATTATATTAACCAAACATAATATATTAATAAAACACAAAATATGAAATAAAGAATTGACTGGAGAAGGAACGAGGTGAAATAAGTTCTTAATAAAAAAAAAACAGTGAAACTATTTGGCGAGGCCCCTTTAGTTTCATCGGTCTTCAAACTTAGCTGCTGTATATTTTTTTTATTATATAGATCTTTGTTTTACAAAATTGAGCTGGCCATGTATAAGTACTCTGGCTCTTCCACATGTCAAAGCATGGAGTCTATCATTCTTATTTAATATAGAAGATGATAAACAGATGTGAATGTGATTCTCTTCAAGTTTCTTTTCTTGATAATTTCCTATTTTCAGGATGAGAATAGTGGACTCTACACTGGAGATGGTTCTGTTGATATCAAGGGTAATCCTGTTTTGAAGAGTGAGACTGGGAACTGGAGAGCTTGCCCCTTCATTCTTGGTACGTCAGACTCAGATTTCGCTTTTCTCACTCTGTTTTATATTGTGAGTGATTTGCTTGCTGACCTTGGTGTCAGGTAATGAATGCTGTGAACGTTTGGCATACTATGGCATTGCTACTAATCTTGTTACCTATCTTACCACAAAGTTACATGAGGGAAATGTCTCAGCTGCTAGAAATGTTACCACTTGGGCAGGCACTTGTTACCTAACTCCCCTAATTGGAGCTGTGCTAGCAGATGCATACTGGGGAAGATATTGGACAATTGCTACCTTCTCTACGATCTACTTCATAGTAAATATCTCACTTTCATGTTACAGAAAATACAAAATTTATGGTGTGTGTAAGATGGTTTTAACATTATCTCCTTGTGACTTACATATTCATATTTTGTCATTTTCCCTTTCCTACCGGAGAGTTTCTCTGACATAACTAACTTCAATCTACTGATACTTGTTTAGTTCCCATTCCATGGGGAATGCCAAAACTTAATTTTGATGTTTTCCTAGAAATAGTTGAAACTGTATTGGTTAGGGAAAAGGTCTGAATTTGTTCCTATACTAATTGCTACCCCCCCCTCCGGGGTTAAATTTTTGGTTCACTCATACCCTTGCCATTAGCAAGTCGTGTCGTATTCTTGCCATTAACAGAGCTCTAAGGCTAAAAGGGTGGACTCGACGTATCCAAATTTTTCAAGGAAAAAGGTCTAAATTTAATCCTCAACCTTTGACAATATAGACAAGAGTGGGTTGCTCTAGTGGTGAGCACCCTCCACTTCCAACCAAGAGGTTGTGAGTTCGAGTCACCCCAAGAGCAAGGTGGGGAGTTCTTGGAGGGAGGGAGCCGAGGGTCTATCGGAAACAGCCTCTCTAACCCAGGGTAGGGGTAAGGTCTGCGTACACACTACCCTTCCCAGACCCCACTGGTGGGATTATACTGGATTGTTGTTGTTGTTGTTGTTGTTGTAACCTTTGACAATGGATTAAAATAATACTCAGGTTGGAGCTTTGTAACGGTCAAGGTCAGAAATGAGATTTTTTCCTAATGGCAGGAGTAATATTATACCAGAAGTCTAACGGAGTGCAAAGTTACTCAATTTTGGAATGTACAGTGGAAAATTTGACCTTTTTCCCTCGTTATATTAATTAGGAAGCTCAACGTAAGGTCTGGCTAATGGTTTTGTGGGCCTTCTCCTTTTCCTCGATCTTGGTGAATCTTATTCTTCTACAATTTGGTGAAACAGAAGACGTACTGGTGCAGGCCGGCCATTCAACTTTGCGGTTAATCTTATGCAGACATTTAGATGACAATCAAACTGAATTTACACCTTTGATAACCTGTTGTGTATCAGTTAGTTTGTCATTCCTATCTGGAACATTAGGATAGACAATGGAATGACATTCCTAGGGAACTTTAGATATGTGGAAATATTTTTCGTTCCTATCTGTAACACAATAAATTATGGATAAAAGAATAAAAGGAATATAGTGGAAATTACGGAGTCAAGTGATTCATATTTAACTTTTTTCATTTCTTTATAATTGGTGGGTGCAATTGTGGTACCAAATGATGTGACCTGGGTTCTAGGTTTGCATATTGTTATTGCAACTTTGAGGAAGGTAGAGACACTTTCTCGGCAAACTGCTTAAGTGCTAATTTCCTGTTATGACTGGTCCAAATAGATCTGCTTTACCCTCTAATACTGTTTTAACTTAGCTGTCAACATTGTGATATGGCACTTATCACAACTTTGTGAAGTGTGATATTTACAAAGTTTTAAACAAACTAAAGTTGGGAAACAGGGAAGAAAGTAATAGCTGTATATCTGCTCAGTGCTGCTCAGTGCCTTGCCTCTTTAGAACTGTTATATTTAGAGGTCTCATCTTTACAACTAATACAGTTAGTCCAAGTGAGACAGTGAATACATGTCTTGTCTTGTGAACGGGAACCTGATTGTCTACTGCCTTATCTCCCTTTTGCAACTGAGTTTTTACCTTTGCTCTAGCCTCTAGTGCAACATGAATTATGATGCATATCCTGTTCTTGCAGCCGTTCTTTCTCTTGCATCTGCTTGCTGGACTAACTCTTTCTACTTCATGTTTTTTTTTGGTGTTGATTGGCTGTATAGGGTATGTGCACATTGACACTATCAGCTTCAGTTCCTGCCTTTAAGCCCCCTGAGTGTATGGATTCTGTGTGCCCAGCAGCAACTCCAGCCCAATATGTCATACTCTTTTTGGGCCTCTATCTGATTGCTCTTGGAACTGGTGGAATTAAGCCATGTGTCTCGTCATTTGGTGCTGATCAATTTGATGACACAGATCCAAAAGAGAGGGTTAAAAAGGGTTCCTTCTTCAATTGGTTCTATTTTTCTATCAACATTGGAGCTTTGATATCAAGCAGTTTGATTGTGTGGATTCAAGAAAATGCCGGATGGGGCCTTGGGTTTGGCATCCCTGCACTTTTCATGGGCATTGCCATTGCAAGTTTCTTTTTCGGTACACCACTCTACAGATTTCAGAAGCCTGGAGGAAGTCCTCTCACTAGAATGTGCCAGGTTTTGGTTGCAGCATTCCACAAATGGAACTTGTCTGTCCCTGAGGATAGTACACTACTTTATGAAACTCCAGACAAGAGCTCTGCAATTGAAGGAAGCCGAAAGCTGTTGCACACTGATGAACTGAGGTACTAATATTTTTCTTATTGCCAAAGAGAATGTTTTTATATTCCACTCTCTTCTCCTGTGTTCTTTTCAATCTTCACTTCAGCATGTTTACTTCACTAGATAGTGATTACTTGGTGTTTATTTTCGAAAGAATCTCAGATTTCACTTAGCATATTTTCGAAAGAATCTCAAATTTCACTTAGCATATTTGTGCAGCCTTGCTTTTTGGAATGTGTAATCTTTTATTCCTCTCCTCTGTTGTTCTTTATTTCATATTCTTGATGGTTTAGGCTATCTTTTGGTTCTCTTGTTCATATTATCTAAACACACGGATTTGTCTTTTTCTCACTAACATGTAGTGATTCAAAGCTTAATGATATCTTCATATAAAGTGAACAAAATCAGTTTATGCTACATGGCCAAACTTCTTAGCCGCTTGGACAACCATTGCAAAAAATTTATGAAACTTTTCTTCTGAAAAAAGAAGATTGTGTAGAAAGAAATCGTGTTTGGATAGTTGGTTTATTTATTTTTTATTTTTTTAAATATCTGAGCATTTTCTGAGGCCTCCTTTCAACATGACTTTCTTAGCTTGTCAAACTCTCTCCTTCACCAAGAAAGTTATCCGACAAGCAAGATCTTTAATTGATGTGCTTGAATAAGGTTGACCAATTCTAACTACTTGGAGCTATTGAGAAGATAATTTTTGAACCTTGTAATCTTACATTATAAAGAAAATTTGTTCTCTCGCCTTTCTTTCTATTCTTCGATTTTAGATGATAAGAAAGGAATGGAATTTCTGTTCTTGGAGCCAAAGTTGATGAAGAAGAAGTTTTCTTGGACACCCTCAAACCACTTCTTTCAAAACCAGTTCTTCGGAAAAAAAAAACTCAAAGAAACACGTTTTGAAAAGCAGGCTTTCAAAAAAAATTCCATGGAAAAATGCCAACTTAATTTTGTGGTAAATTTTCTATGGATTACCCAATTTCTTTATCATAATGCTTCTTTCTCCTATTTACCAGTCATTCTACTTAGATTTTTTTAAATTTGGGGAGATGATCATCTGACTTCTTTTGACAAGGTTATGCATTTTCTCTAGTGTTTATTTGATTTGTGGTAAGAGGTGGTCATCTGGCTGCTTTTGACTAGGATATGCCTTTTTTTCTTTTTGGTGTTTATTTGTCATTTTGCAACAATGAAATGTCGGATCCCTAATGGCATCAATGCAGTTCATTACTCTGCTGATAGTGGTTTTGGGTCAAATATGACTTCAAAGAGAAGTCAACTTGATGCTGAAAAGGTAAACAATTTACAGTAAAAAATAGAGTTGATGTAGCGTTTCGCTGCACTACCTTTCTTAATTAGATCAACTAAGCATTGTTTACATCTAGTTGCCATCTTTTTCAGCATTCCTTTTTATCAGTTTATGTGTATAATTAAACACAAGAGTATTTATCTATACTAAATTCTAACACCAAATGTTGATCGGCATTTTTATCCTTCATAAGTGCATCCATGTTGGATAAAATTGTAATACAATTAATTTAAAACTTCATTATTTCCTCTCATTCATTGTTGATCTCTTAAATTAATTAAGGAATTTCATTATTTCCTTGTATAGTGACTTTTTAATGAACAAAAAGCTTCACTATTTCCTTTTATGGTGGCTTAATGAAAGCAGTAAATCTCTTTTCAATATTCAAGTTCTTTTTTCCCCAACTTTCCAAGTTAGCATTAGAAGTGAGAAACATTTCAAAATACACAAATAATCTGTAAAATAGTATGTTTATGGTGTGGGTATTATTCTTTAGAAGATTATGTGGAATTAGTTCTTTGGGTGTGATTAATATGGCTCTTTGAGTGAGTTTACTCTGACATGCTAACTTTTTCAATAGTGCATAAATTGAAGTTACGTGAAGATTTTGTCATAAAAATGCATAATTACAAACATATGAATTATTTTTTATTTCTTTGATAATTATTTATATTTCTATTTCTTGGAAACTAAGGTTGCAAGGATTCTAAGGATCAAAACTTCCTGTTGTTGCGTGCTTGGTTAATTTTCACTTTGAGACTGGTTTTCCTCCTTTATTCTCTTAATAATTGGCTCCTTGGCATTTAGGTACTTGGCGTTGTTATATTTTACTGGGTCGTTGTTGTTGTTGTGTTGTTATATTTATGCACCTTGAACAATTAGTACTTATTTTTTCGGGCATATCATTTTGTCCCAAGATTATCTTGTGAGAAATAATACACGGGAAAACATTCTATTGATTTATTAACAATGATACAATGAGCCCTATATATATAATACATGTTCTACTCATACTACATATGTGACTAGGTTTATTTACATATAACTATTTAACATTCCCCCTCAAGCCGGTGCATACAAATCATATGTACCGAGCTTGTTACATATGTAACTAATACGAGGACCAGTGAGGGACTTGGTGAAAATATCTGCAAGCTGATCATTCGACTTCATAAACTTTGTACTGTTGTAGCAAATATCTCCTGAGAGTATTTTCTCTGACGAAGTGACAGTCAATCTCAATGTGTTTAGTTCTCTCATGGAATACCGGATTTGACACAATATGGAGGGCAATTTGATTATCACACACAAGTTCCATCTGATTGATTTAACTAAATTTCAATTCCTTGAGCAACTGTTTGATCCAAACTAGTTCACATGTTGCCATAGCCATTACTCGATATTTTGCTTCTGCACTAGATCGAGCAACCACATTTCGTTTCTTGCTCTTCCAAGACACCAAATTGCCTCCTACCAAAATACAATATCCAGACGTAGAACGTCCATCAGAAAGTGATCCTGCCCAATCAGCATCTGAGTACCCAACAATCTGCTCATGGCCTCGATCCTCAAATAATAACCCTTTGTCTGGAGCTGACTTTACATACCGAAGAATGCGGACAAATGCATCCCACTCAACACTCACAGGAAAGGAAATGTCTGGTCTAGTCACTGTGAGGTAATTTAATTTAATTTAATCTACAGCCTGTCATTCCTGTCTCCTCAAGAATGTCTAAGGCATACTTTCGTTGTGAGATCACATTACTTGAGCTAGACTGAGCGACCTCAATACCTAGAAAATACTTTAAAATTTGCCCAGATCCTTAGTTTGAAAGTGTTGGAAGAGATGTTGCTTCAACTTAGTAATACCATCCTGATCATTGCCGGTAATAACAATATCGTCAACATAAACCACCAGATAAATATAGATATTTGAAGTACAATGCCGATAAAACATAGAGTGATCAACATCACTACAAGTCATGCCAAATTCCTGGATAACTGTGTTGAACTTACTAAGAAAGATACATTTGAGAGCACGGGGAGCTAACTTATCTTTTTCGGGAGCTAAGTTATGAACGAAACATGTGCTCCCAAACACACGAGGAGGAAGAGAGTATAGGGGTGACTGAGGAAACAATACCGAATACGGAATCTGACTATAGATGGAAGATGAAGGCATCTGATTAATCATATAACAAGCCACGAGAACTGCATCGCCCCAAAAACACAGCGGAACGTGAGACTCAATTAGAAGTGTGCGAGCATTTTCAATGAGGTGTCTATTCTTTCTCTCTGCTATCCCATTCTGTTGAGGGGTATAGGGACGAGATGTCTAATAAATAATTCCTTGAGAAGTCATAGACTGCTGAAATTGAGAGGATAAGTATTCTAAGGCATTATCACTACGAAAGATACGAATAGAAACGCCAAATTTGTTTTTTATTTCAGCACAAAATTCTGGAATATAGAAAACAACTCAAGAACGATCTTTCATTAGGAAAATTTAAATACATCTTGAGTAATCATCAATGAAATTAACAAAATAACGTAATTTAAGGTTGAACTGACTCTACTAGGACCCCATATATCAGAATGAACTAAAGACAAAACAGACTCTGCACGACTCTCAACAGTACGTGAAAACGTGGCTCGGGTATGTTTCCCAAGTTGACACGACTCGCAATCTATTGTAGATAAACTGGATAAACTAAGCACCATATTTTGAAGCTTGGATAAACTTGGATGTCCTAAACGTCTGCGAATTAGGTCTGGAGAATCTATAACTGGACTTGTTGTGGAAGGATTGAGTGAGTGAAGGTAGTAAGGGCCTTGTGATTCACGCCCTGTGCCAATCATCTGTCCCGTACTGCGGTCCTGCAAAACAAAAAAGTCATCAATAAAGTATATACCACAATGGAGGGCACGAGTCAACCGACTAACCGATGCAAGATTACAAGGACAACCAGGGACATAAAGAACATAATCTAAAGACAAAGGATAAGGGATTAGCTTGTCCAACTCCTTTTTTCTTTTGTTTGGACTCCATTGGCTAAAGTAACACTAGGAAGAGACTATGGATAAATAATATTTGACAAAAGTGACTTATTATTAGAAATATGATCAGAGGCGCCTGAGTCCATGACCCACGGTCCAAGAGTAGTAGACTGGGAAACACAAGCAAAGGAATTATCAGCAATAGAAGTATCAGTATGAGCAACTGAGGCTAGTTGTGGAAGTGTCTGCTTACTTGCTCGACACTGAGGGAACTCATTATATTCCCCTGTAGATAAAGAAAACCTCTGGTTCCCTGCAGTCTCAGTTTGAGCAACATGAACATTTTTAGGTAGTCGACCATGCAAAGAGTAACACACCTCACGGGTGTGTCCAACCATTACAATAAGAACACTTAGGTCGAGACCTTCCAAAATGACCTCTATTCTCCATGGTCTGAGATACCCGATTTTCCACTGTTTTGGGATGCAACTTGCGAGAACGGAGGACTCAGCTATCTGTGATGAGATCACTATGTAACTGGGTGCTGCAACAAGGCGAAGTAATCGAGAGAATAGCTCATCAACTGTAGGGACAGTCGGGCTAGCCAAAATCTAGTGACACACTGAATCAAGGTCATTAGGAAGTCCAATGAGTGTTAGAACCAGAAACATTTTTTGTCGTTGCTTTTGTTGCTTTTCGACACTAGCAAAAATTGGCATCAACTTCTCAAATTGCCCCATGATTGCCTGTACTTGTCCCAAGTAAGTTGCCATATTCAATTCTTGTTTCTTCAAATTTGTCATCCGCGATACCACATCACAGAAACGAGATATGTTATTAGTGTATAAAGTACGAGCATTTTCCCAAACTAAATGACATGCCTGGAATGGACGAAAGAAAGGCATCAACTTGGAATCAATAGATCACCACAAGATACTACATAACTGAGCATCGATCTTTTCCTACTGTACTTTGGCCTTTTCATCTCCCTCATTAGCCTTTTGGTTAAGTGATCTTGAACACCTTAACCTTTACACCACAACTCCACAGACGAAGGCCGAGATAAATAATTTGAACTTCCAAGTAGGGGTTCAGAAGTAATCATAAAGGCTGAATTTCCAACTCCACTGTTTTTGGAACCAAAATCATCATGTCCGAGAGTCATGGTTGAATCAAATAAGTACGAAGTCACAAAATTTGGGGCAAAAGTGGTCCCAAATTGTGTTAGGTCACAAAAACAGTTAAGAAGCAACAGAAAAAATACATGGTAACCGCCGAAAACTGGAACAGTCGCCGGAAAATAAAAAAGTTGTCGGAATGTGATGAAACATGAATGGGTAGAGTTGGAAAAGCCTTGCGAACAAGCTGTCTCAAAGAGGTCAGCCAAAAAATGGCCGAAAGAGGTCCCACGCGCCGGCGCGTGGACCAGATCTCGCCAGAAAAATTCTGCTCCGATAGGCGCGTGAGAGCTCTGCTGCCGGAGATATTTGTTGGGGTTTGGTCGCCGGGGGTTGGGGGACCTTATGGTGGTGTTAGTTTTTGCACAACACAGATGGAAATTAGTTTGACGTAAATCTGCCCTAGAAAGTCGCCGGAAATTGATGCACGTCGACTGTATGGCTTTCTCGGATGTGTCTCACTCACGCTCTGATACCATGTGAGAAATAATACACGGAAAAACATTCTATTGATTTATTAGCAACGACAATGAGCCTTATATATATTATACATGTTCTACTCCTAGTACATATGGGACTAGGTTTGTTTACATATAACTATTTAACATATCCTTTATGTCTATACAAGTAGTGTAGCTGCCTAATTGTTGATTCTGATTCTTTAGAAAATATTTTATAATTTGAACAATTTATCAGTCATTAATACTCCCTCGGTTCTAGTTTATGTGAACCTATTTCCTTTTTGCTTCGTTCCAAAAAGAATGACCTTTTTCTAAATTTGGAAACAATTTAACTTAAACTTCCAATTCTACCCTTAATGAGAAGCTTTTATAACCACACAAATACCCTGGACCCCTTTTTGACTTGTTTAGGATCACAAATTCAAAAAGTCATTCATTTTTTCTTAAACTACGTGCTCCGTCAAACAGGTTCACATAAATTGGAACGGAGGGAGTATGATTCTCAAAGGAATTTGTTTTTGATAAGATGATTCTTGAAGGAATTATATCTTATTTTTATTTGGTTGTATTTTTGTTAGTGATGTATTTTTAAAAGGTCATTATCTTGACATACAATTCTTTTTTAATGATTCACACAGGATAATAAGTGCAATGCAGTAACCAAAAACTAGTTCTCTGAAAAATGCTTTAAGTGCACTTATCACAAGACAGAACCAGTTATCTAGTGAAGCACCTAGTAATTTCGCCACAATCCTCAATGCATCTCATGCAACATAAAATTGAACTTGCTGCATCTTCTTGCAATTATACTTCTTTTGCTATCTCGAGAAAGTGCTACTAGTATTTTGTTAAGCAAAGTACTGGTTTGTTTTAGCTTTGGAAATTATCCACCTTCATTTTCCTGCAAGGGTTAGCGTTAGTGTGCTTTTTGATCTTCTAACATTATCTTCTTCAGATGCCTTGACAAAGCTGCTGTAGTTTCAGACGCCGAATTGAAAACTGGGGACTATTCAAATACTTTGAGGCTTTGTTTAGGATCACAAATTCAAAAAGTCATTCATTTTTTCTTAAACTACGTGCTCCGTCAAAC